CTTAATCACTTTATTTGAAAAATGAAGTTTTATTTTAATTTATTTTGTTAGAATCTAGTCCATAGAGTTTAATTATTTTTCTATCATACACTTTGGCGAATCACCTTTTAACAGGGCAAGTCATTGTTTGGTGGCCATTTTTTTGAAAAAATATTTTTTTGAATGAGTTGTTAAAAAGTAGAAAGAAGTTTTGATTTTATGTGTAAAATGTTTTATTGATTTTCCACCGTTTCTCCATTGATAGCAATGTGGTCAGAAGATTAATTGGAAGCTCTGGAAATGAAGACTACTAAATGCTGATTCTTTTGAACCATGTCATCGACTCTTGGCCAATCTTGGCCATTTTTCGGCATCCTTGACAATGGAAACCAATAATGGTGATTATTTCAGAAGGGTTTGCCTCAAGAAAAAAATCAAACCTCTCATAAACATTTGGGGCTGGTGTCTGCCAATCAGAATTCAGTAGATTAGGATCAACAAAATGACAAGCACTTAGCAAAGGAGATCAGCTTAATTGTAAGCTTCTATCCTCAAATTCATTATATATCAAGTCAATAAGCCTTTGACACACAATTTAAATTAAAAAATGGGTTAATTTTGTAAGCCAAATCTGAAAGTGAATACGTGTTTTTTTGTTATATGCCGAGATAGACATTAATCTAAGTTCAAACAAACAAAGAATAAATAGTATCCGTGATATCTATTGAATTCTCAAATACTTACAAAGGCTATGTAGTTGTAGCAATTGCCATCCAAATAAGATGGATTACAAAATACTTGAACACCAACACATTAAATTTTTGTCTATTCTATTGGATAATCTTGTCGAATAAGTTGTGGATTATTATTGGACAAAGACAGGTGTCGGGGATAGTTCAAAGTTCTTCAATCTCTAAATTTAGTAAATTGACTTCGTCAACAAGCCTTAATTGGTTTATCAATTTTGTTCTCAGCATTTTCCTCAAAGAGTTACATCATTCTGATTGAATAAGAGTCTATAGAGTTAGTGGCCTTGTCTATTTCCTAGACAACATTTACGAGACACGAAATAAAGCTGGCATGTGAAGGAGTCTGTTGCTCAACACAAAGAAAGTTGGAAGGTTTATTTCCAAATGTGCAGCAGCGACTTCATAAAATCTGATGAAGCTATCTTGTCATGGAGATGCAACGACTTTGCCCTAATTCACCCTATATCAGTATCAATCAAACCAGGGAAATCTACTCAAGTCCACTCTATTTGTACCTTATTCCGAAGGACACCTTTTGAAGGCACCATTACACTATACTCAAATAGTGTCCATCGGTCCACTCCTGTTTCAAGCATATTCCTCAATTAAAGATGCTGATGCTATCAGCATTCTTAACCGGTCAAGTACTCCTAAACCCCCTTGAAAAGGCCCAACTATTGCCAAGTAACTGAAATTATAAATAAGAACAACCCAATTTACGAAAGGAGAACTGACCATTTTATCAATCAATAGCATACATGCAAGTCAATTCACAGAAACATCTTTCCTTATTGGTTGATGAGATCGAATCACTCAATAATGAAGTTGCGTAGATTCTTTTACGGTGAACATACAAGATTGAGTTGAACAAAAAAATAAAAAAAATGCTGATTCTTCTGAACC